ATCTTACAATTTTTGCATTCTTAGGTTTAAAATTTTTAAATTGACTTTAAGATTTTTATTTTTTAAATTAAAATACTCACTTTTTAAAATCGATAGTAAAATTGAGACCCGTACAAATAAGTTTTATTTACCAGGCCTTTTTGATTAAAATAAGAATTTTTTAAAATCTGAAAAACAATTTGACCTCTATAAGGTTTTCTATGATCTCATCCTGCAATAAATACATTATCTATTTTTTATGATAGCATCCATTTAATTTCATTTTATTAAATTGCCAATTATCAATCATTACAGATTTTTTGGCTGATTTTTAAATCATCGTTCATCAAATATATATTTGATCAACTTGTCATAGATTTATCATTAGATTAGAAAAGAATTAAATTTTTGCATAGTTCGAAAAGACCCGTAAATAATTAATATATAATAAAAACATAGTAACAACTCTGAGTTACCTCGAAGAACGAAAACCATTGAATTTTCGTGTATATGGTGTACGGCACTTGAGCATACATTCTGTAATGGGCTTCAAACAAAGGCATTGAAAAGTCAACGTGCTCCTGTCTCAGCGAAGTCATGGACATCAAATACAAGCCAATGTCTATTTTTCTGTCTTCGACCAAACCGATGAAACCGTCATATCTTTGTTTCGCCTCGTTCCACTCCGAAGGGCTTGTCACAACTTCACACGATATTTTACTTTTCAATCCGGAAGCAGCTTGTATTAGATCAAACAGTTCTCGCAAGTAGTGGCTTATTGTCCCGTGGATAGTTCTGTTATCACCTCGATGTCGGTGCTCCAACTGAATGATTATAATAGCATTTTACTTTGAGATAGTTATTTAACCATATTTTCAAAGGAAAGCAAGATGGGTCAGAAACAACAATTTTTACGGGTTTTCTAAAGGGGAATGAAATCATCGAGGCCCAAAAAAAGAGAGATTTTGGTTGACGTATAACAATATTATAAAGAAGAGAGAGTGGGTAGAGGGAAGAATTTAATGATTAATTATGCCCATCGCAGATATAAAAGATACTTCGTTTCGAACGCATGTCCCGCGACACGTTGCATTAGTTTTTTTTTTTTTTTTTTTTTTGACCAACCATCAGTGTATTTTTTGCGAACTTCTGACACTGATAAAAAAAAATGAAACTGGTTTTTGTTAGCGTTTTTATCGTAGAATACGATAATAATATAAGTTTTTTTTAATTTTAAGGTTAGGTTGATCCATTTTTATTACAAGCGTCAACTTCTTTCCTACTTTTATAAGGTAAATTTTTTTTCAAGTAAATATTAAAAATACCAAAATTTAAAAAATTTAAAAAAAAGTTCCAAATCGTTCGAGAAATGGATTTTGAAATTCAAGTTTTGAAAAAAACGGGTTAACTTAACCTTGAAATTTTTCATAATATTTTTATCGTACATTACGAAAAAAACGTAACAAAAACCATTTTTGTTTTTTTTTCTGACCAGCGTTTCTTTTATCACAAACTTTAGAAGTTCTCAGTCGGAGAAAAAAAAAATTAAATTAGTGACCATTACGACCATCTTATAGAGTACTATCCATTTCCAAAGTTTAAAGAAAAATACATTATTTTTTGTCCCATTCCACGTGGGATGCTCTGTATATATGATAACAATAAATGATCTTTACCATAATTCAACATGGTTAAATTCTAAAAATAGTGGTAAAGCACGGCATACCGAAAAGGTTATGTAGATGTTGGGGTGCGACCCCTTGTGGGAATGTAAGGGGCAAAGCCCCTTTCCCCGAGAAGGATTGCAAGAGAAAAATAATTTGTAGTGCATAAATATTTGTATAGTTAAATAATACCTTAGCAACCCTTAAGGTAAGATTCTGAATAGCATCAGGAACCAACAATCCAGAATTACTCAATACCTTGAATTTTTGATCATTCACCCAAATGGCCAAATCTCTAGTTTCGGTCTCATTGTTTACAACCCCAAAGTATCGTCTGAGAATAGGATCTTCTCTCTTTTTGACAATTACTTTAGAATCCAAGTACAGCTCAAATGGGTTGTTCTGCGACAGTTGGCACTTTGCGTCTCTTTCGAACAAAAACAGCCACGCGCATGTCGCGGAGTAACGCGACTTTGGTCGACTCATTGCCTCCCTGAGGTCCGAGAGGTTTTTTTGATCAGAAATCGGGACAACGAACAGAGGACTCGTCGATCGTCGGGAGTTGATTTTGGGGTCGATCGCGAGTCGGAATAGACGTTTTTCCCTCAAAGGTACCGCCTGCGATGCCACACCCATTTTTGATAGCTCCTTTATGGTACTGACCAAGTGGTACTTGTGGTTTAGGCCTGAAAACGATACATTAGCAAGTGATGGATGCATTGGATTGTTGTTTTTGCTTTACCTGTGGCGTTACCATCGTAGACAAGTACGACTCCGGGGGGCCGGAAAAAATCGACAACACCCGAAACCAAAGATGGTTCGTATGGATTATTGAATGTTCTCGAATTGGCCATAGTTATATTAGAGAAGTAAAGCATCAACACTAAACGGATATATTTTGTAAACATTGTTCAGCCGATACCAGTGCAATAACGCGTGCATACTGTCAGCATTTCACGCTCGTACAAAGTTCGTAGAAAATATGGTTTTTTTTTGTCACAAAGCTTTTATCTTTCCATTAATTTTATCGTTAGGAAAAAACCTTACTTTCTAGCCATTTTTCCAAATGGCTCTACTAACGTGAGCAAAGTCAATTTTCGGTAAAAGGTACTTTTACTGTAAAATGTGGAAATTTTATTACTGTGACTCAACATTAGCTAATAATACAACCTGTCGGATTAAGTTCCAAAGCTTTTTATGTTTTGAGCAAATAGTTTTTAATTTTAATCAATCGCTCCATATCTAATAAAAAATAAAAGTACAAGAGAGAGTATAGTAATTCAAAAAAGATTTTGATCTTTTCTTTCTTGTTGCAAAGGTACATAACACGGAGAAACAAAATATGTATAAATAATGTAATAAAGGCCATAAAAAAGTTACAATAAAAAAATCAAATTTACAGAAACGTATAGATGCAATGAATTGCAGGCAAAATATAGACGACAATGAATAAAATTTTTTTAGGTATTAATGCAAAATATAGTTTGTAATGCAAAATAAATTACAGGAGACATTTGTCATACAATTTGTTACTAGGAAATGCGTAAGAACTTTCTAGTTAAAATCTAAAAAATAGAGATACAAGGAAAAGTAACAAACTGAAACAGCGTAAGTGGGTGACACAAAGGAGCAAATTGAATCCACACAAAAGCTTGGTGGTAGACTTTAACTAATGAAAACAGGAAATTCGCAGAGTCATAAACATAAATAAATATGATAAAAAAAGTAATGGTACAAGACGTAAATGTTTGAAGTCATGGAGGATCGAAGACGTGGACAATTGGAGGCCGAAGATATTTTAAACTTTTGTTAAATGGACTAGTAAGCTCTTCGACATTTTTAACAGCCGTTAGGAATCATACTAGAAATTAATTATCAAGTTTATAAATGTTGAATGAAAATTAATGTAAAAAAAAAGGTAATAATCTTAATTTTTCTAACAAAATTTAACTTTTATAAAATAAGTAGACATCGTGTCACGTAGTATTCATAAATAATGTTATATTAATTTACACTATGAGATGTTGAATATTAATCGAATATTTAATCCTGAAACGATATTTTCTGATGAATGATTATTTCTTTTGATCTGAACCGATTTTTCATTTTGATTTTTGCTTTAACTTTAACACTGTCAAGAAATTTATTTATATACAAAATGGAAGGCAATAAAGATGAGTTTCTCGCATTATAAATTATTTCTTGTATGAAAAATTTATGACCAATTTCCTCTGTCAGTTATGATTTCTCCTTTTTGAGTAAATATAACCACTGAACCAATAAATAATTTTTTCTTTGTGCTCAAGTAAAGTTTATGTGAGTTGAAAATTTTTTATTTATTTATTTTAATTTCACATAATAAAGTTACTGAGTTTATTTATTATAAAAAGTGATTACAATTTTTTGTTTTACTCAAGGAGAATCATCTTTTATAAAAGTTTTTGGACATATAATATTTGTTTTCCAATTTTTAGGCAATTATCATTTTATTCTTTTTTCACCTCGAAAAGTTTTCCTAAAAGTTCAATTATTGTGTTTGATATACATTTAAACATAAGAAAATTTGTGTATATTTTTTTAAAGAGCTTTATTTGGACCAATAACAGTCAAACAAAAAGAAAACGTGTCAACTACCGAACCCATCATGCGTAGATGACGTTACAGGCTGGTACTTTTGAAAACAGAGTCGAAAGACCTATTTATTAAAAATCGCGGCCAACTCGTCGGTGTTGATGACCAAATTTTGGTTGCCCATGGCATTTTTGCAGTAGCAAACGTCATTGAGACACTCCCCTCTCGAATATCCCATGCATTTGCAAATGGATTCGCACATTTTGGGTTCGCAGGCAGCTGAAGCTGTAAAATTTACAATTTATTTAGTTCACTAATATAAATTTTTGCATCGGAAATATTACTTGTACAATACACGCACTAGTCATGTTTTAAGGGTATACTTACCATAAGCGACCAGAACAACGAGGAGAAAAGCGAAGAAAATGGCCCTCATGTTGGTTAAGTTTTCAATTTGGTCGCGGATAATCGAGTGGTAACGAATACTTGAACTCTTGTGATTTTTTCACAGCTCACCGGTGCAATTTATACACGAAAAATGAAACACTACTTACATGATTAGATTATCTATCGGATACGGTACAACAAATAAAGGGTACTACAGACGATGGAACATACACGATAATCCAGATAATTTGCATCTCGGAGGCGATAAATATAAGTCACCGAAAAAACATAGTGTCATGAAATATTATTTTTAACACCAGACTTACAATAAATAACTTGATAGATCTGGTCAAATTTTTTGTTGTTGTTTTTTGATTCTCTTGCCATAAGTATACATTCAAATGTGCTTTATCGTCCCTTCCCTTCCATCTTTGTTACAATGTCTGGGATTTAAGCAAAAGCAGATTAAACGGGGCCATTGATTTCTAGAATTTTAATCATCAATAGTAGTTTATAATGAAATTGTATTTATCTGTACTCTTATTTCACAGCAACGGATGCAGTACGTGTGGATGTGGACCAAAAAAAGTGGCTTTCAACAGAAGAGATGAAAGACATGATAGCGGATTATGCAATCGAATAAATGGCTATGTTTAATAAATTTGGGAATAATATATTATGAGTTTATCATTAAGATGATAATCTGCTGTTGCTGTTCAAGTTGTTATTACCAAAAGGTCTGGTGAGGCAAATATTTGATAAATTTATCGATTGAAAGAAATATGGCAAAACAATTGGATGAAACGATCAAGAAATTGTTGGAAAGGTGGTACTAAAAATAACATCACTCGAATTTCTGTTTTTTCGCTCGTGCCTACAAAGACTTTTATTTATCTCTGGTGAGATGTATGTAGATTACGTGGACTGTCGATTATTCAATCGTCTGGTGGTACCGTTTATTTACTTGTTTTACCGTATCCGATAGATAATCTAGTCGTGCACAGTTCGCGTGGATGTGTATAATTTCTGTGCATAAAAAATAACGCCGATAAGCTGAAAAAAATAAGAAAATCCAAGTGTTAGTTTCCACTCGACTCCGTGATAGCCATTTTTTACGCTTTGCTCCTTGTTGCTACTGTCTCTCGCTGTGAGTACCTACGCAATTTTTATGAACCCGTGTATTGTCTGTATAATAATTCTGGTACAAACGTTTACATATTTTAAACGACTAAATTCACATTAATAAACTGCACGGAAAAAGTTTATTATGGGATGTGATACCATTTGTGCCAGATGAGTTCGGTATAATTCTTTTTTTTTTTTTTTTAATTGATTTTTTTTTTTTTTTTTTTTAACAAAATTTAAAAACGTTTTAACAAGTTTCTCTCCTAATGCTATTCATCAGACGAAATCATTGAACTTCATGTACAGCGCAGTTCTAAAGAGGGCTAGGGTTCGATATCCGATCGAGTAAAATTTTTCAAAGAGAAATCGGGTTTCCGCGGCTTATTTCTTGTCAACCATAATTGTTTCGGGACAGAAGGCTGATGTATAATGCTGAAAATTTCATATCACAATTTTTTTCTCCGAAAAATATTTGAAATGGTGTTTGTCTTTAAAAATAAACTTCGTAGCGTTGAAATCGTCTCTTATGACAACCTTATTAATCATTTGCAAAGGTTTCTGACAATTTCAAAATTATTACTTACGACGCGGTTGCGTAAAATATTTGAAGAAAAAAAAAACAACTAAGACTATTCTTTAACATATCTATGATATCTACAGTATTCGCCAAAATTTAAAAAGTTATTTCACTTATTCGACATAAATTTTGATACTGTGCTCGCTACGTCATGACTTCAGTTTAAAAAAGTCGTAAAGTACTAGTTCTGGTTTTTGTTCGGATGTCGATGAAATTTTACCTCAGAAGTAATTCAGTTGACATTTCATAAGGCTAGGTAACAAGACAAAAATTTTGTGGCTACAATTATTATTATAGCTAAAGTATGGAAACTTATAGAAAATCACGCTTTTCATAATTCAATCAGGATTTTCAGATTAAAAAAAAAAAAAAGGAACAAGATTACATACTTACGTATCACCAAAAACATTCGGTCAGCATTTAACAACGTATTTGCATGTATTGTTTTTAAAATTGTATTAAAAAACCCTTCATATCACGTATAACTGAAATAGAACGATAATAGATATATAGATGTAATTTGAAATTTTTCGGTCGTTGATAAATTTTTTGCTTCAATGCAAGAATGTCTTGATAAAGCGACCGCGTAAGAAAAATCAAGCTACAGAATACATAGTTTGTATACTAAATCACACACGGATTTAAAAATTTTACGGGATAAAAAATTAAATTTATTCTCAAGCTACAGTGGATAAGTTAAAAAAAATCGGTTTGGAAAATACTGAAAATACTTATCTACAGGTAATAGGAAAATATTGTAACTGAATATTTTTTCGTATCAGTTGTCTTTTCGATGGATTATTAATTATACGTAAAAGAAGGTTCGTGAGTGTCTTCCAGGCGGGAGGGAGGCAAGAGGGAGTCCCAAGTGTAGCGCACGAGTAAATAGGTGATGGCCCAACCAATAGAAGTAGAAAAAAATACTATTATCATAAAATTTTTCTTCTAGCAATAAATAATCGTTCAGAGTATACTCCGAAGAAGCAAAAAATATTCCGTGGATTTTATTATTCCTCCCGAACTTCCGTAAAACTGATCGAGTTAGTATTAGTTCTGCAATACATATATAATGTACTAATACGTACGCATAAAATGACGATTTAGTCAGAGCTTGACTATAAAGCCACGCGTTACACGGAGCGCGTTTGTTCCCAATAAGTAAACGAGCAATACTTGAGTTGGCCGTGCTGCCAGTGCTACCGTTGCCATGGATAAGTATACATATACGTCTTGGCATGGCTACAGGCGTTGCGTTGGATGTTGAAATTCCATCGGTTCGTCGAAAGTCCAACTTATCCTGCCCAAGAGGGAAAAGGAGTTTGAAGGTGGGCAAACGCTTTAACAAGCTATTCGCAGGGTTTGCGAGTTACTGGGCGTCAGGTGAAACGGCTACATCTTCGAATTAAAGGTAAAAAGAAATATTATACCGTATATCGAATTGCATTGAAAAAAAAAATCCTCAAACAAAGCGCTTGTATTGGAGAAAACAAGGCAAATAAAAGCCAACATTTTTTAGCTTTAGTTTATTTTATTGATCGATGTCGGGAATTATTCTGGCATAGCATATCCCGAAAATCAATTGTATTTAAATATTTTTTTCCAACATGATGATTTTAAGGTATACGTAACAATTAACACCGACGTGGTTCCGCCACGTCACTTGGATATCACGCGTAACGGCTCCATTTCTAACAAGCTGTACCCACGTGTTCCCCCAGAAATTACATTCGTTTCTTACTTAACGAATTTTAAAAGTAAATAAAATTTAAATAAAAAAAATTAATTTCATTTGTGACTATTTGTTACTAAGATGTAATTTCCACTAATTCGTATTACAAATCCACACGGACAATAAAATATTGAGATTTCAATTCGTGCAACCCAACACAAAAAACAATGTGCAATTACAATGATGATGCTATACTCTTTTTCTTAATGTAACGTAAGTAATTGTCTTGTTGCGCTGTTTTAGACTGACTTTCACGAATCGTGGTGTCGTAATTCTACAAAACTGAGCAGCTGTACCAGAAAGACGGCAAAGGTAAAAATTTCCTTACGATTTCTTTATTAACATTTTAAAATTGCATAAAACCATTATTACCACTTCATCGGTACACAAAGATACAATTTACAAGATGTAATTAATAGCCATTACGGTCAGACCACGCCTCAGAGAAAATGGCGTCGTTTCACGTGTAACGACGCCATATTATTTCTAAGGCGCGGTCGCGCTGTCTGACGGACGAGCTTCATGCGAGTTTTTTTTTTCCTCGTGAAATAGCTTATACATTTTAACGTATTAGATACGAACTTTTTTTTAAATAATTTTTTATAATTAAATATTGAAAATGAAAATAAAAACGTTTGTCGGTATTAGTTGAAATTTTCTATAGTTGGCCGGCAAATGAGACACGAGCCTCAAACTTTTTCGAGAGACCTTTGTGTTTTCTCTTAGCTTTTTCATCGAATTTTTGAACTCGACTGATTTGATTAGTTGTTGGATTAATAACAAAAAAAAAAAAAAAAAACAAAAAAAACGACATTTAAATATAAAAGCTTTGGTTATTTTACATTTTGGGGTAATTGAACAAAAGGCTAAAATACACTAATATTTATCTCTATGATAGTCATCGATAAAATTATTAATAGATTTTTTTTCTTTTTTTTAAATTAGCGTAACAATCAGTGGTAAAAATGGACATTTCCAACGACTGCAACGTTAATAAAGAGACGCTCGACTATAAGTGCAGATATTGCAAGGAAGCCATGGACTCGTGGAGGTGCGACGAGTACGGGCTGACTTGCTGCATCCGATGCGACTCGTTGTTTCGAAAAATCCAATCTACGAGGAAGGAGAAAGAACGTTTGACCTCAGAGCAACACGAATAGTCAAGGTTCGGTATTTATTAATAAACTAATGAACTGATTGGGTAAAATTGCGAAATAAAAGAAAATCCAGAAACCATGCAAGAGTTCAGGCTATGAGAAATGATCCGTCTTTTAGAAAATCTGCAAGTGCCCTGTTTGACCGAGATTTCAATGCGTTCCGTAATGGGATGATCATTTGTTTTGATATCAGAAAAAAAAGGTGATTTTTCCCACTGTTCAGGACTTCAGAGTAAATAGACTCGGGAGCGGTGATAATAAAAATCGAATGAAATCGAGGATACCAGCATTATGAATCGGCTTCCCGGGATAACCACACTCTAGACGCAAAAATCAATTTTTGCCCCAAGAGTTAATGTCACTTGCAAAGAAATTTCATCTCCAGAATAAACAAAACAAAGAATATATCTGGAGAAACTCTGGAGATGTACTTGGACTCGTGTACCTACAGAAAATTTCCCTTTTTCAATGAAACGATGTGTTTTATTGTTGCTCTT